ACCCCATCCCTCCCCTTCAAAAATCGTTTACTAGATATGTACGTATCATTGTTAATATATCAAGAATACCTCTCCTATACGGTCCAGCGCTACACCTCTTTTCTCATCCCCCCAACCTCCCCCCCCCCTTACCCCTTTCCCCCAGTTATACCCTGTTGGGCGTTTTACGTCACATTTTGTTATGCAAATGTCCCTGTCTTCCACATATTCCTTCTCTACCGGTTTTGTATTCATTTTTTCCCTTGTTGCACGGACAAAAAAAGGAGAGTGTGGATGAGATATTTGTCGTGGAAATACAAATTATCAAAGGCGTATCCTCGCTTTTCATTCCGTGAGCGTTTGACAGCAAGCCGAACACTGGAACCCCTAAGGAGAAATGCTCAACTTTACGCGAAAATTGATAAAAGCAATCGTTTTTGCAGAAAGAGAAACAGGGATGTGTGTGGAAATAGAACATGTCATTCCAAAAGACGCTGGTTCAGCATGACCATAAGGCTAAAATCATAACCATAATCCTAAAACTAACATATCACCATAACCGTTACTCAAAATCATAATCCTGTAGAAGCATACGAACCATTATAACCCTAACCCAAATACCACAAGTCTTAGAGTAACCTTGACGAAGTGGCAGTTACCTTATTCTTTACGCAAACGTAATTGTTATAGATAACTCTTACCTAAGAATGATAACAACAACTATTTTGTAAGTGAAATTTTTTTTAAATTACCATAACATTTTTCTTTTCGAAAATCAGTTATTCCCTTTAAACATAGCCTCTGACTCATACACCAAGAACATAATTTACAATAGGGCGAGAGAGTAGAAATATGTGGGGTTTGGTACTTGAACAGAAGTAGGGGGTGGAAGATGGGTAAATTATCACCTATTGATATTCCACTACTTTATTGAAAGTCGTTAAATTAACCCAGTTATGAATTGTTTTAACCTAATAATTTGCGCAAGTTTTGAGTTTTCTTTTAAATTTTAGTTTATTGGTTGGTTGGTTGTGTCTTAAACTTAATTAAGTTCATTTATTAAAAATGGGAAGTATGAAATCAGAAACTGACCAGAGCGTGAAAATTGTTCCTTTTGCTTCGTCAGAGTTCATTGACTCCTGACCAAACAAGGTCTGTAGACAGGAGACTACCGCGGACAAAACAAACTCATCAATAAAGGCTTTTACAGAAGGAAATTAATGCGAGAGTCAATGCGAGAGTCGTTGCTGACCGGATAAGTTAGGTCCTCAGATAGAAGATTGTTCTTGGCTGTCCATCCTTTTTTTTCCCCTCCTCTACTCTGTCTGTCTTTTTGCTTTTTGTTCTGGTAAAATTATTGGTATTGCATTGATCTGCTTGCTTGTATCTAGCTAAATCAAACAAAGTTGTTGTCGAAGAAGGAGGGGTCGTGGAAACGACGTATATTATGTGAAAAATGTGTCTCTGAAAATGACAATAAAAGACAAACACGACCAGAGTCAACAGTCAACGTTTTTTTTATCTCTTCCCACCCCCCGGTTTTTGAGGCATTTTTGGTAACCATTTTGGCGTACCTGTTGAGAGGTGAGGTTCTATTCTGAGTGAGGTTTAGGTAACATTCCTTAAAAGATTTTCTATCAGTTTAGAGTAGACAGACAGGCAGACAGACAGACAGATAGACAGACAGATAGATAGATAGATAGATAGATAGATAGATAGATAGATAGATAGATAGATAGATAGATAGATAAACAGATAGATAGATAGATAGACAAAAATATGGACATTTCTTCAAAACCACTTACATGTGTCTAATGGGGCGTTAAACGAAAACTTAGGAGGAAAAACCCCAGAAAAAATAACCAACAAATAAGTCAAAGCGACATGACATCAGAAGGGCTGTCGGCGTCAACACCAGACGGGATCTGAGAGTCGCGAAAACCCTCTTTACAGGGTACTTGTTTGAGAGAGAGGCTTTTTAGCTACTTCCAAAAGAGGGCTGTCTGTTTGTGAACGAAAGGTTTGTTTTTTTGTGCCACTAGCAGGTTTTTGTTTCGTTTTTGTTGTGGTGTTGTTGTTTTGTTTGTTTTGGGGGGGGGTTTTGGTGTGTGTGTTGTTTTGTTGTTTGTTTGTTTGTTTGGGTTCGTTTGGTTTTTTGTTTTGTTTTTTGTGTGTTTGTTTGTTTGTTTGGTTGTTTGTTTGGGGGGGGGGCATTTCCAAAATGTCCTAAATATCCTGTAAAGAGAGCTCTCATCATCTCCGGACCCTGTTTCCGGGTCGCCAAACGCGTTAATACTGGCGCAGGAGCTCTTCAAAGTAAGAATTGATTTCCCGCCAAAACAGGACAGAGCCAGGGGGCTGCGCCGAGCGCGGGAACTGAGCACAGGACTCAAAACAAATTTGCGGAGTCTGTCTTGAATATCAATGGGTGGCGGCAGATCAGAGAAGTGGAAACATGGCGGAGTAGAAGAATAGAAACTTATGGAATGTTCTCTTTCCTTTCTTTGGGTTGTGTTTCTGGGCTTGTTGGCTTGTGGGAGGTCTTGTTTTGGGTTATGGTTTAGGTAAGTGGGTTTTTTTGTTGTGGGGTTTTTGATGGGAGGGGGGGGGTTGCGTGTTTTCTGTGTTTGTTGGGGTTATG